GAATCACCTGGGTTGGAAGGGACCTCAAGGATCATGTAGTTCCAACCCCCCTGCCTAGCAGGGCCACCAAACATCCACATTCAGATCAGGTTGCCCAGGACCCCGTCCAACCTGGCCTTGAACACGTCCAAGGACGGGGCATCCACAACCTCCCTGGGCAGCCTGTTCCAGGGCCTAACTACTCTCCTTGTGAAGAACTTCCCCCTAACATCCAACCTAAATCTTTCCTCCTTCAACTTTGATCCATTTCCCCTAGTCCTGCTGTTGTCAGCCCTTCTGAAGAGTTTACTCCCCTCCTGGGTGTAGGTTCCCTTCAGGTATTGATAGGCTGCAATGAGGTCACCCCGCAGCCTTCTCTTCTCCAGGCTGAACAAGCCCAACTCCCTCAGCCTGTCCTCATAGGGGAGGTGCTCCAGCCCCCTGATCATCTTAGTTGCCCTCCTCTGGACCCTTTCCAAGATCTCTATGTCTTTCTTGTACTGAGGGCTCCACACCTGGACATAGTACTCCAGATGGGGCCTCACAAGAGCCGAGTAGAGAGGGACAATCACCTCCCTGTCCTTGCTGACCACCCCTCTCCTGATGGAGCCCAGGATCCCATTTGCCTTTTGAGCTGCCAGAGCGCACTGCTGGCTCATGTTAAGTCTCTCGTCCATCCAGGACCCCGAGGTCCTTCTCTGCCGAGCTGCTCTCAAGGACCACTTCTCCCAGCCTGTACGGGTGCCTGGGGTTCTTCCGGCCCAAATGCAAAACCTTGCACTTTGCCGTGTTGAACCTCATTAGGTTCACCCGAGCCCAGCCCTCAAGCCTGTCGAGGTCCCTCTGAATGGCATCCCTTCCTTCCGCCGTATCAACCGCACCACTCAGCTTGGTGTCGTCAGCAAACTTGCTGAGGGTGCACTCAATTCCTTCATCGATGTCATTAATAAAGATGTTAAAGAGCACCGGTCCCAAGACAGACCCTTGGGGGACACCACTTGTTACCGGCCTCCACCTGGACATAGAGCCATTGACCACCACCCTCTGTCTGCGGCCTTTCAACCAATTGCTTATCCATCGGGTCGTCCACCCATCAAATCCACTTCCCTCCAATTTGGAGATGAGGATGTGGTGGGGGACCATGTCAAAGGCCTTGCTCAGGTCCAGGTAAATGACATCGGTCGCCTTCCCTTCGTCCACCAATGCCGTCACTCCATCATAGAAGGCCACAAGATTAGTCAGGCATGACCTTCCCTTGGTGAAGCCGTGCTGGCTGTCTCGGATCACATGCTCATTCTTTATGTGATCGAGCATGTTGTCCAGGAGGATCTGTTCCATGATCTTCCCAGGCACGGAGGTGAGACTCACCGGCCTGTAGTTCCCCGGGTCCTCCCTGCTCCCCTTCTTGTATATGGGAGTGACGTGACCCTTCCTCCAGTCATCCGGGACCTCACCTGACAGCCACGACTTCTCAAATATGATGGAGAGCGGCTCGGCAACCACCTCAGCCAGCTCCTTCAGGACCCTGGGATGCACGCCATCTGGCCCCATAGACTTGTATTCATTCAGTCTAAGGAGGTACTCTTGGACTTGCTCTGCCCTTACAGTGGGGAGAGAGTGGGGATGTTTGCAGAGACCTCAGAAGTATCAGTAAAATGACTGACAAAGAGCAAATCTTCAGAGCACCTGGCATGTTAATTTTCTGTAGTGATCAAATTCTTCCTCTGTGTTCTGACTGTACTCTTGGACTGTGTGGGAGAGATGGAAATAAAACTCTTCCATTACACTTTCATTAGTAAACACATTTTGGCCCTAATTTGCTGACATGGCTCCTTCACGATCTACATGTTTTTAAGACTCTGTGCTGAAGAGGAGAAAGGAAAGATCTTTAAAAAAAAATCTACAAGAACTTTTGAATTCATGAATTTCTCATGGTCTTTTCTCTTTGATGTTAGAGAAAATGAATTCCGGTGAGGTTAAAATTTTAAAGCATACATTGTTCCATATTGTTGGGTAGCCTTTTATTTATTCACTACGTATAGCATTCACATTCTTCGCATTACTGGTTGATTCAGTGACAATTAGAAATTTGTGAGGAAGGACACTTTGTACGCTTTGTCCCCCTGGTCTAGGCTCAACGCTGGCCACAGTAGTTTTGGCAGTACTCCCTAGGCTTCACAAATTCTGGAAGGAAGCAGACAACTCATAGCATAGGTAAAAAAAAGCCTGATCAGTTTAAGCAGCTGTTTTCCCATGGAAGTTGGTTGTTAACTTTTTGATGCTTTTGTAAATATTTGTAGAATAAGGTTTTTAAAATCAGTCCTTTAAAGGACATCTGACAGAAGACCCATTAATTTGGGTCCTTCAGTGAGTACAGTATACCCCAGAGAGAAAACAGGTAGGGGTTCCTCGATGGACCGGTCCAGAAGGTGATGTCAAATGCCAGTTTTTCCCTATACTGATTTGAAGCCTGTAATCCCCCACTGTTACATCTGAAAGAGCAGCTGGAAAGAACTTCACTTAAATGTTTCTAGCCCTGCCTGCTGGATATGATACTGAAGGTTTGATTAACATTTATGGAAAATATTGTCTTGTCTGAATGACCAAACCTCTGAGTGCGTTCTGGATGGTGCCTGAGTTGTGTCATTCATGCCTATGACACAGAGTCATTTTCTTTATAATGCCTCTGTTAGGATGATCACAAAGCTAGTAAAACAGCAAACTGAAGAACTTACATGTTTTGTTAATTGAATGATACTTTTCTGAAGACCACTTAAATGACATTTGAAACATTTATGTAGCTTGGTTAATGTTTATTTGCAATTGTGCTACTATCTTTACGACATAGATGAGAAAAATTAGATACAGAATCATTTAGATTAGAAAAGACCTTCAAGATTATAAAGTGCTCTGCTTGTGTAAGATAAGATTCTAATATTTTCTAGTAATTCATTAGTTGCTTGCTTTTTTGTTATTCTTTCCAGGAATATAAAGTTTTCAAGCAGTTTAAATTTCATTAGACTAAAATTTGTCCACTGAAGGTGTTATACAGATGCTTTCTCATGGAACTATAATTAGCTTGGCTTCTTGCACTACAGAGTCTGCTATAAAGAAAGAAAAAGACTGCTGGTGTCACCTGCTCTCTCTCTGCATTTTCATGTGTTTGAAACTACCCAAAGTCCACATCAAATGAACTTCCTCAGGGACTTGTCCAGAGAGGTTTCTATGAGTTGAATTTGCCTTCAAATCTGGCCTGGATGTTCTTATATTTTGCTATGGTATCAGAATTAGGAAACTCAATTGCTCCAGACACCTTCAGGCATCAATTTAATGAGCAGAGGAAAGAGGGTTTTGAAGTTATGTTAAAATCAACCAGTGCAAAGTATGCTTTATTACACACACTCTTTGAGCTAGGGATGAGGCTGCTCTACCACCCTTTATGTTTTATTTTTAGAGATCTAATAGGATCTTCGTGAAATGATGAGTCTTCTGCATCTTTTCATACATAGCTGCATTATGCTTCTTACATAGCCACATTTTTAAAGCTAAAATTAAGTGAAATCTAGCTTATGGGATGAATTGGGAATGCTGGAGAGTTCAAGTTTGCTTCAAGAATATTGAAGATGCCTGCGGGAACCTTGTTAGCATTAATTTCCAAGAGATAATGTCAGTTATTTCATCCACAGCAAACTGGAGAGATAAGATGGTATATGAATTTCACATCTGTTTATCATCTTTCCATATGAATCAGAACTTAAGAGTCCAACACTTCCACATTTATGACAGATAAAAATATTACATCATTGCTTTCTTTAAGGATGCTCAAATATTTCTCCAAATCATCTTTGGGTGATTTTGCGAACCTTTTTTGAGAAAGTAAGGTTAGGAGGATGGTTAAGGCTCTTAAGGAATCATTCTTGCTTTCTAAAAATGAAAGCTAACAATCTTGAATAAATCTGTAGTAGGAGTCCCAATGTAAAGTAACACAGGGATGCTGTATCTGTAGCTTAGCTTAATGAGAACTAATTTAGCTCAATTAAAATATTTAGATGTTAGTATTTGTATTCTACTTACTTTCCTTTTATGGTGTACAAACAGGAAAGGCTCTGGCTGAATTACTGCCTCAGGACATATCTGTGCTGGTCTGCAATGATTTACTGTGACCAATTAACCAAACTGAAAAACACATTGTGTTTTGTTGCTTGGGTCCTATTCTGACTGCATCAGTTAACATTAGAAAGGCAGCCCTGGCTATTTAGGCTGGACCTGAGACCTTGAAGAATGTGAATGTGAGATCTGAGGGCCCATTTACCTCTCATGTGTGCTTCCTGGAGAGAAATCAGATTTTAACTCTTGCACTCAATCAGGTAATGTAAAGAAATATCAGATGTTCAAGACTGCCACCAGCATGTTTCTTGTAAATACTTGTGACCCAATCTGATCATTAACTCTTAGAATCTGTCTTTAAAAAGCCTCTGACTAAAACAGTCCTCAGTGAGCAAACATCCCAGGCAAGGTTACAAAAGTATCAGGTATGTGTTAAGTAAAATTTAAGTCATGACATACTATAATCACATATTTACAAGAAAACTGTGAGTGGCCTGGGCCATTATGCAATAGCAGACCCGGGCATCCTGAAAGCTGCAAAGCTCCTTTACTTGCAAAATCTGATAAATGAATTGTTTGAAGACACAGATCTGTAAGCTACGAAACATCCAAATCTGAAGGAGGATTAAAACAAATATAAATAAATAAAAATGAAATATTTTACTGTTTCCTTTCCTACCACAGATTAATTTAGATAAATGCTCTTCAATTGTGAATGCTTTGGGCAATTAGACCACTTGGATCATTTTCTGAATATGGATTTAAATGCTAATATTACATTCAAGAGTTGAAATTTTGCCTATAATTCTTGAAAGAGGATCACTGTGACTTCAAACGAACAAAAAATGAAAATAAAACATTGTATTGGCAAAGAAAATTTTTCTGAAAAGGAGCAGAATAAATTATTTTCTTACCTGCTTTCTGGCACATAAATTGCTGATGAAATATTAAAATGTTTAATATGAGGTACCATTATATCTCTTGCAAGTAGAAGAACCTTTATAACATGGATTATGTGATACCTTAAACTTAAAGGTAAAATTCCTTTAGAATCAGTTTATTCTATACTAAAGTTGTTCTGGAGTTGAATTATCCAGAAAATAATCTTAAGTAAGCAATCATTTAAAAATTCTCCTTGAAGAAAATTGAAGATCAGCATGCTCTGAAGATTCTTCAGAACCGAATCAGTGTGTAGGAATGGCTTCAGAGAACATCCTCAGGCTCTTTTGAACTCTGCACTCTGGACTACCATTTTGGCTCCTTTCCTAGTCAGTGTGTACACAAGAAGTATTAGTAGAAAATCTGAATGGTGATCACAAAAGGAGCTTCTCCTGGCCTGTATCTCTTTCCCTTTTTTAATGCTACTCTGCAGCTGAGCATCTTGCTGTCTGCATAGTGGAAATTAAGTCTGAATGCTTGGATTCCAGTCCAGATATGGGGAAAAGCCACCAGGGTGTGGGCCAATAACCAGTCTGACAAAATAAATGAGTCAGCAGGCATTTATTACTCAATTTACTAATCTGGCAGTCTGGATAGATCCCATCTAACAATAATATTGATCTTGTGGCTGAGAAGGCCAATAGTATCCTAGGGTGCATTAAAAAGAGCATAGCCTTGATCTGCTGTTCAAGGAAGGTGACCCTCATGCTCAGCTCTGCCCTGGTGAGGCCACATCTGTATTCCTGTAGTCCAGTTCTAGGCTCCCTATCTCAAGGTAGACAGGAAATTTCTAGAGAGAGTCCAATGGAGGGCTACATAGACAATTAAGAGCTGAGAGCATCTGTTGTAAGAGGAAAGGCTGAGAAACTTGGAACTCTTCATCCTGAAGAAGAAAAGACTGAGGGGAGATCTTATCAGTGCTTATAAGTATGCGAGGGCAGGAGTCAAGCGGACAGGACTCTTTTCACTGTTGTCCAGTGACCGTTCAAAGGACAGCAGGCACAAGCTAGAACACAGGAAGTTTCATACAAACTTGTTTTCTTTTAAAAGCTTCTTTATTTTAACTGTGACAGAACACTGGAACAGGTTACCCAGAATGATTGCAGATTAGAATATATGGAGACATTGAAAATCTGCCTGGGCATTTGCCTGTATAATTTGTTCCAGCAAGGCTGCTTTAGAAGGAGTCTGGATTAGATGATCTCTGGAGGTCCCTTCCAACCTCTACAATTCTGATTCTCTGATAATTATTTCAGTAGCTGAACTAGCAAAAGCAGAAACTTTCAGGTATACTAAGCTTAATTATATCTGAAACATAACACTGAAATAGCAAGAAACAAGACGCTTTCCACTGTCATGTCACTTTTCATTAGGACATAATAGTACCGCACCTTACAGTATAAAAGGTGTTTTCTTCTCTGGTCCATGTCTTTTGTTTTGTTTTGCCTACAGAAATATAGGCTTCTCAATAGATTAACTGCTCAAGTTTTCTGGTCATTTTGTTTTACTTCACCAGGGTACCCTGCTGTCTTGTCATGAGCACATGCTCTTTTTTCATGTTGTGACACAGTGTCATGCCAGACATTGACCTCTGCTTTGTTTGCACAAGACCAGCCTTGCTGGCAACCAATAGGAGTAGCTTCTCCCACTGGTGGAAAGAGGTCTTAAGACAGGAGTAGAAAGATTCATTGATAGAGCTTTAAACTAGGTACGAAGGAGGGTGGGGGTGTAACTGGGTCACTGGAATGGAACCTGGATGTAACGTCCCAGTGCTTGTAGGAGAGGGATGTGCTAGTATGATCCCATAGTCTTGTGTCTTGATGAAAGAGGAAGATGGCCCACCCTTTTGTTGGAAGAACACAAGGGTTGGTGTGAGGTTTATGGCTGTGGTAACACCTGAATATGGTTGTGAGGGTATTAGGGCTACTGCCACTCAAAAGGAGGCCCAGCTCATTACACTAATCCATGCAACATGGTAATAAACAGGAGGAGCTGGAGGCCACTGTGTGGTCAGAAAGCTATGATACAGCCATCACGGAAACATGGCAGAATAACTCTGTGATTTGTGATTCTGTGATTCTGTGTTCTGCGAATGATTCACACAGCTGGAGTGCTGAGATAGATGGCTACCAACTTTTCAAAAGAGACAGGAAAGACAGGAAAGGTGATGGTGTGGCCCTCTATGTTGAGAAAGAATGTGAATGTGTGGAAATTCATGATTGTGGTGATGGTTGAGAGCTTATGGGTCAGAATAAAAGCAAAGGCCAGTAAGACTGATATTATTGTGGCAGTCTGTTACAGGCCATCAAACTAGAATAAAGAGGTGGACAAGACACTTTATACATGGCTGGGTGAGGTCTCAAGGTCTCTCTCCCTTGTTCTTGTGGGGGACTTCAACTTCCCAGACATCTGCTGGATTTATAATACAGAGGATGGGGAACAATCCCGGAGGTTCCTAAGGTGTGTGGGAGATAACTTCCTGACACAGCTGGTGAAAGAGCCAACACTGGGAAGCTATTGTTAACAGAATTAGGAAATGCTGTTTGTTAGCAGAGAAGGTCTTGTGTAAATGTTGGAGGTTAGAGACCTTGAGATATCTGGGGCATAGAGACCTTGAGATGCTACATTTCTTGATCCTTGTTGAAGCATGGAAGGGAGTCAGCAGAACCTCCACATTCGACTTTCAGAGGGCAGACTTAAACCTCTTTAGGACATTGGTTGAGCGAGTCCCTTGAGAGGTAGTTTTGGAGAGTGTGGGAGCCCAGGAAGGCTGGGAATACTTTAGGGAAATAATTTTAAAGGTGCAGGAGCTAACTGTCCCCAAGTCATGGAAGACAAGCTGATAGGCAAAGAGGACAGACTGGCTGAACAGAGACCTTCAGCTGAAACTCAGGAAAAAAAGGGAAGTTCCACTCTCTGAAAGAGTGGGCAAGCTGCTTACGATGATTACAGGTATGTAGTGAAGCTGGGCAGGAAGCAAATTAGAAAAGCCAAAGCCCAGCTAGAACTGAACATGGCCACTAAGGTGAAAAACATCAGTAAATATTTCAGTAAATACATCAACAACAAGAGGAGACTTAGGGCATAGATTTCCAGGCTTCTGGTCACTGCAGACAGCGTTATGGTGGAGAAGTTTATTTTCTAACCTGGTAACAACAAAAAAGTTTCAACAAAATTATAAATAGTATATTCTCATTTTTTACTCCTGCCTAAATCATAAGTGCAGATGATGAAGAGTTCCAAGGAAATGTGCTCTAAGTCAATCTATGGAGAAGCATAGAACCTTCAACAAAAATGTAGACCTACTAACTGCAGAATTATCTATAGCAATAATCGACTATAGCTAATAATTGACTCAGCAGAAGAGGTACATGTATTTGCTTTTAACACTGGCAGAGATGTAGCATTGTAAGTCTGTAAAGATTCTGTAGGGTCAGAAAACTGACAGCCAGCATAATCCTGTCATCATGTTACAAAAAGAAGGCAGTTCACTACCCAGAACATCATGAAATTTTTCCTAACCTTAGTGTTTTGGCCTTTTGGAGGAACATTGGCATAACTACCACATAACTACCACATCTGTCCCTTTTTAGTCTTAGTTTCTGAGAACAATGTTTTTTTTAATAGGTAAATCTGTTTACCCACAGTTTTTTTTCTGAGGTTAGAACAACATTTTAGTTTGTCTAGCAGCACTTCTCATTATATTATTATATAATATATTATATTATATTCAGGAGCAGCATGACACTGTAAATGAGACCAGACAACATAAATCATAGCACCTGTTTCAATATATTTTGAGTTATTAAAAACATATTTTTATTGTAGCTAAGATAATCACATACACAAAATAACAAAGTCAGTGCTTGAGAGTGTCAAGAGAAAACATTAAATGCTGCAGATGTTTAATTCATCTCTTGGGAATGTTATTTCAAGCACTTGCACATTTTTCTCTTTAGCATTGATCTGCAAGACTGAATATTTTAATTAATCCATCATCATGTATTTATTTATAGTGTGCCTGAATGATGTTACGAAGATATCTGTTTTCTATCTTCATTATATAAAATGTTCCAGAATCTGAAAATCTATACCAAATATTGATTTTTGAAAGCAAATATTTTCAAGTCTTTTTAAGTTGTTTATCTTGGTGCTCTGTCAAACTTTGTTGCTAGCAGCCTGACAAAGCATATACTCTTGAAAAGTAACAAGTCTCTGTTAATTCTTTTCATCTGCCTATCTGATAAAACTCCTCTAAAATTAGTATTCAGCACCTCAGGATCCATGCATGTAGGGCTGGGGTAATTTGTCTTTCTCATACACTTAACCCAGCAAGTGGGTTCCTGAGTCCCTTTGATATAATGATAAGATTAAAGGTAATTATTTTGCTTTCTGTGAGTCTTTGCTCAATGAAACAAGAATCACTCCTTTGCTCTGCAGTAGGTCAGATCGTACTTATTTGTTCTCTGTAAGTTTGATTTTAGTACATGAGTGGAATGGCCATAAGAAAGCTACTTGAAAAAATACTGCTTTAGTGCCCATAAAATTAGTTCTGTGATAACCTTTATCTAATTGTATTTTCGTCTCAATGGTCAAAATTTTCTTACTTTCAATTGCCTGAGAGAAATTATCTCTCGTTGATTCTATGCTAACAAAATGAGCAGCATTTGCTACATGTTCACAGTATACACTGCCTTAATATGAACAGGGAACTGTAGCGAAAGAAGTAGATAATAGTATCTTCCTTTTTTGAAGACTGCATTAAAAATAATAAGAAGAAAAAACAATAAAGAAAGAAGAAAGAAGGAAACAGAGAAAGAGAGAAGGAGAGAAAGAAAGAGAGAAAGAGAAAGAGAGAGAGAGAGAGAGAAAAAGAAAAAACAGAAAGGGAGGGGGAAGGGAAGGGAGGGAGGTAAAGATACCTTGCATTCAGATACTTGCTTTGGATATATTCAGGTTTTTTTTTTTTTTTTTTTTTTTTTTTTTAGTACTGTGAGGCTTAAGAAGACATTTATTAGTGTTATATTCAATATCACACTTGTATCTGACTGCAAAGTTAAGAGTTCTATTGTTAACTTTTGGTGATGCTGTCTTCTGGTGAATGATGTACTTGCCAGTGTTGGGGTCTAGGAGCAGCATGGAGAAGATGGAAAAAAAAGCAGCAAAATCACCAGGGATAATAAAAACATGAAGGAAGCAGGGGAGTGTGCACATCCAGGGTTTTTACCTTGTAATTTGGAGCCAGACTCTGCGGTGACAGGCACTTTAATAACAGTAAGAAAATAATCCATGAGGTTTTATCAACTGCCTTGAGAGATAACTATCAAATACTTAAAGAGCTAAAGAAATTACACTTTTCTACTGTCTGTAAACTGTTTTTTTCAGGCTTGTATTAGAAAGCCTTAGAGCACTAGGTTCAAAATGGATCATTTCCTTTACATTGATAGTTTGTTAGAGCAGACAGCAGACTTCCCTGCAAAGTTTGTGAGTTCAAGATCATGAGTGGTGTTCTCCAGGGGTTGGTGCCAGGGCCCATCCTCTTCTATATCTTTATTGATGACCTAGATGAGGGCATTGAGTGCAGCCTCAGTAAGTTTGGAGATGACACCAGGTTGTCTGGAAGTGTCTATCTGCCTGGGGGTAGCGAGGCCCTACGGAGGGATCTGGACAGGCTGTATAGCTGAGCTGAAGCCAACGGGATGAGGTTCAACAAGGCTAATACAGGGTCCTGCACTTTGGCCACCACAATCCCAGGCAGTGCTACAGGCTTGGGGCAGAGTGGCTGGAAGACTGTGTAGAGGAAAGGGACCTGGGGGTACTGATTGATGCTCGGCTGAACGTGAGCCAGCAGTGTGCCTGGGTGGCCAAGAAGCCCAATGGCATCCTTACTTGTATCAGAAACAGTGTTGCCAGCAGGAGCAGGGAGGTGATTGTCTCCCTCTACTCAGCTCTGGTGAGGCTACACCTCAAGTACTGTGTCCAGTTTTGGGCCCCTGACTGCAAGAAAGACATTGAGGCCCTGGAGCGAATTCAAAGAAGGGCAACAAAGCTGGTGAGGGGTCTGGAGCACAGATCTTATGAGGAGCGGCTGAAGGAGCTGGGATTGTTCAGTCTGGAGAAGAGGAGGCTCAGGAGAGACCTTATCACTGCCTATAACTACCTGAAGGGAGGTTGTAGTGAGCTGGTGGTCCACCTCTTCTCTTGTGAAACTGGTGATAGGACTAGCTTCAGGCTGTGCCAGGGGAGATTTAGGCTGGAAATACTGGACGTTAGGAAATACTACTTTCCTGAAAGAGTGGTCAGGTACTGGAATGGGCTGTCTAGGGAGGTGGTGGAGTCACCGACCCTACCCTGGAGGTGTTCAAGGAACGTTTGGATTTTGTGTTGAGGAATATGGTTTAGTGAGAACTATTGGTGATAGGTGGTTGGACTGGATGATCTTGGAGATCTTTTCCAACCTTGGTTTTTCTGTGATCCTGTGATTCTGTTCTGCGTAGCACAGTGCTGCAAGGAAGTGAAGGGTACATGGTGTGAAGAAGGCTGCCCCGTCTACAAAAAGGCATCCTTTTCTGGGACTCTCTTCAGCCTTGTGCCCTGAGGAGATGAGGGAGTTGCACCAGTTGCAGGGGCAAAGCTGCAGATTCCAGGCATTTGTTTTGTTGTTGGAGTCAGTTGCAAACAGTGGAAGGTCTAATGGCTGTGAGACCTATGAAGCATTTAGTAAATGCTGTTTGAGTGCTTTTCCCTTGTCCAAATGTGGCCACATAGAAAGGGCACATGCATGAACTTGTTGCAACAGATTATCTATTTTGCTAGGATGTGCTAGGTTTGATGGAGAGACCCATAAAAAGAGCTAGCATGAGGCTGGAGAGCAAGCATCACTGTTTGCTACAAACAAATCTTACTGAAGTGACTGTAACTGTGGTGTTTGAAGGTTGGCCAGGCCAGTAGGGAAAGAAAATAGTGTTTTCTTTCATCTATTCTTGCAAGCAGATGGAGACAGATAAAAGTGGAGACAGATTTAACCTAAGCAAGGGAGAGGCTACATGCTTTCCTTTGTTCTTCAGAACTTCCAATTTTCATTCTTTTTTTTTTTTTTTTTTTTTTTTTTTTTTTATTATTTAATTTTTGTACAAGACTATTTATTGATCAGATCCTAAAAAAATTTTTCTTTTCCTTTATTTTTTCTTTCTTTTTCCCTAACTTAACAAGATAATCGTTTCACTTCAAACTCAACTCCTGTGGACGTTTCTGCCTCAGAAGTATGCAAGGATAACAGACTCTTTTTTTGTTCTGCCTACTCACGGCATCTTACAGAGCCCTGACACACAGGCCAGGCAAATACCTCTGCAACTCGCTGTGAGGATGTACTTCACCATAATACAGCAGATGCCAAATAGTATTAAAACAATCATTTTCAGATTTGCTAGTAAAATTTTCCTAGTAATGTAAATGGCATAAAATAGGGAAAATTATTTTTTATCATAAAAAAATAGCAAGCACAAAAAATGTCTGCCAGTCCTTTTAGGTACACAGGATAAATTTTTCAAATCCTAGCATTTAGATTTACCACAAATTTACACTGACATTAATTGGAATTACTTACACAACTAGGTTTCCTATGCAGTGCTTCAAAAATATACCTTGATGCTTCTAATTATATGCCTTGGGCTACTGTTTGGGTACACTAATAAACTCATCTGATAATGTATAGTTCCATCAGAGTGAGTCTGCAGGGACATAGGCTTATCTGCATAAGCAGTTACTCTAGATCAGGTCTTTCTGGTAAAATCTGCTGTGGATTATTACAACAGAAATAGATCTTCTGTCATAAATCCTGTTATTAGGTCATTCTTTCCTTTTGTCAGCTGCAGTTTCTTATGGTTCTGTACGTTTTCTATAGAGATAAAAAATTAAGTATTACTCCCGATGTATTTTACTGTACAATCTACCTTCCACTTATTTTGCTACTTTCCCTCAAAAAGTAAACTATATTTAAAGTCATTACATGCCTTCACATTACATATTTCTTTCCAGGTATGTTTTATGATAAACAAAGATGCTTTCACAATGGGATATCATCATAAGTCAGCATCTGATAAATAAAGGCTATTTTCCTCCAGTGTACTCTCTGATATATAATTGCCTTAAGATAGCACCCTGTTTCTAAAGCTTGTGCAAACATAGGTATATGAGTACAGACAGGATAGTGGTGATATTACGAGAAAAAAAGCCATTTCTGGTCTACTATATTATATGTGGTAAAAAACCTTACTTCTTAACTCCAAGATGTTCAAAGTAGCAGCCTGAATACTTTGTAGTATTTGTATGCTCTTGTTTTCACACTGTGGCTCCCTATAGAAGTTATGGAATAGTCATAGATTCAACTTATTAAAACATTTATTGGTAATGCATTTTTTCTGTTGAGCAACTGGGTTTTTGTCTTGGTTTGATGCACCAAGAAAATTTATTTAAAAAATTAAGAATTGCATCTATTTAATTTTTGAATGTCATTAAAGCCCCTTGGTGATTTTAAAAATCAGTAGCATCTTTAGAGCCAATAAAATTAAAATTTGATTGTTTCTATGTAGTAGCTTCACAGAGAGAATGAAGGAACGTTTAGCCTGGCATTTACTTTTTTTTTTTTCTTTCTTTCTTTTAAATAAGCATGTATTTGATGTCTTATAAACTTGCATCACAAATGCAGTTACATTTTCCGAATATTTTTCTTTTTTTAGATTTTATTTCACAGCCTAGAGATAGTCATATTTAAATAATACATAGTTCAGGACATGTTTCCTAATGAAAAATATTAAAGAGGTTGCCCTTCACTGCCCTTTTATAAACAAAAGGGCTTTTATTTTTAGGATGCAAAACAAAATAAAACTCTCACAGAACAAATGATTGTCAGCTTTGTGTTCCTCAGAAACATTTACTTCCTGCCTAATATTATGCATAGTTACAATTTTAACTACAATGAATAACAACAAGAACTGAAAAGCTTTCTAACTTCTAGTTCTTCCATAACAATAGTGTTTGAAATCCTGTTAAAATCCTCCTTATCTTTCTAAGTTTCAGGCTGTTCGTGCTACCTGCCTTTTTGTTACCGTTTTGTTACTGAATACAATAGGGTAACCAGATGGTAGTCAAAATTTTCATATTAAATAAAACCAAAGAGTAAAGCTCTTCAGGGACAATAAAACCACTGTTATTTATTTAAGTAGTTGTATAGGATACAAACGAAATTGAAATAATTTACTATACTTGAGGCATGGAGATCACAGAATCACACAAAGTGGTCAGGGTTGGAAGGGACCTCAAGGATCATGAATCTCCAACCTCCCTGCCACATGCAGGGCCACCAACCTCCCCATTTAATACTAGTCCAGATAATTCATTTTTAGTTTGTTATTTTTAGTTATTTTCTTCCACTGAAAGAACAGTATTTTAAAACTAAAGAACTGTTGGAAATAGACACTGGTAGTAGCAATATAATAATAATAAAATAATAAATACTTCACGTTTATATAATCTGTATTTATAATAAACCAAGCATTTCATCATTACCTAACACCTCATAATATGCTTTAGATATGTAAGTATAAGTGTCTTCTGCAGTTTACTAAAGAAGGAGTTGTTCAACTCATGTTAAAGGCTACAGGAACCCAGATATTATCTTTCTGTTCAGCTTCACAACTGCCAGCCGCAGAGCTCCAGGAGCAAGGTGAGAAGGCAAATCAGTGCAGACATTGTTTGCTGTAATCTTGGGCCATTAGAATACAGTCTGATAATTTCCTCTTCCCTTCTCAGTTCTACGAAAGTATCAAGAAAATAAAATGGTTAATGATAACGAGGATTTTCAACATACTTTGGAACTTCTGAAACACCTCACAGGTACTTAAGTTGAAAGTGTCAGCTGCAAAACCAATCAAAGAAGCTATTCTCAAGAGAGAAACTGTGAATAAGTGTCCCATCAGTGATCGTTTGAGGAGCAACTGATATCACTTATCAGCTCTTGCAGGCATTAATCTCAGAATAATCAAAAGTAAATACCAATCAAAAGCAACATCTTCACAAGAGGTACGCACCAAGTCTGCGTGCAGACTTTTAACCCTAACCAGGTTAAAACCAGAAAGCCATAATCTCACACATGTGAAAGCCACTGAGTCTCTGCTTGAAGTACTGGTTTTCCAGTATTACTTTTACAGTCTTTATTAAGTGGAACTGGAGAGTAGTTTTTAATGAACATTACTGCCTTCACTGAACATGGCCAGGTCTGTTAGGCTTTTTGCTTTTGTAACAGGAAATGATCGATTCAAAACTGAATGCTAGAGAGCTAGAGCATTAGAACATTTAACTCCTCAGAAGAGCTTAACTGCTGCCAGTTAGTTGCTTCATATAATTAAAAACAAAACAAAACAAAAAAAAAACAAAACAAAACAAAAAAAAACTTTCAAGGCCAAAGGTTTTTTTTGTTTTGTTTTGTTTGTTTTTTGATTGCTTGTTTATCTGTGGCTTGCAAATATAAGAATTTAACCTTTCCAAGGGACTTGAGAGACTCAAGTTGTTAAATAACAGTTTATTTTCTGGAAGCATAGTATAAATCAGGAGCTGTAGGTTCACAATACAGTGCTACACAGATAGGAATCTGGTCAGGAAAGAAGAGGCTGGCAGTTATTTTGGGTACAAGTGAGACTAGGTAAGTTTTCTCTCTTGTGCCAAACTGTAATTTTGATGCTGACAAGGTAAGAGTGAAACATTAAGAATGGAGGACAGCAAGAATATTATACACTAACTTTGCATATAGAGATAAAATAATATTAAACTTTTATTAATAATCTCAGGATATTGAAAATGTTAATTATAACAGCTTTCAGTTTTCCATGGAAAGTAAGTATATACAAAGCAATGTTGTAAATTTTCAATGTTGTTGATACACTGCATTTAAAAATGCTCAGAGCTTTACCTTTATATGGTTTTTTGTTTGTTTTTTTTAACCAACTGAATTCTAAAGATAACAAATATAATGCATTTGAGGAGATCGTATGCTGCTACTGTACACTGGCCACGGCTTTGAGTGAGCATTCTACACAAATAATGTACAGTGTTAGAACTTCATAAAGCAGTATTCTGAGAATTAACCCACAGAATTCAGACTAATTTTTAGCCACTTGTATGTGTTGAGCAGCTTATACTATAATTTTCAGCACTTATTTCTCTAGTTTAATATTGTTCTTTACTACTACAATAGTTTACATCTGTTTTCTCTTTCTCCTGATTTAAAAAAAATAAAAATCTATATATATATAGGTTTACTGTGCAATTTTGTTATACAAATTGCTTAGTTGTGTAGAAACTCAAGCATATGTAGATTTTGCAGAAGAAAATATTTATCCCTGTAACTTCAAATTAAAATGGGAAAAATAGTTTTCTGCTGAGCAGGATTATAAAGATTTCCCAGTATTTTATGTTATATAAAGCAATAGTTGTGTTATTCACTATTTCACTGACATTCTCTGAAGCAAAACAGAGTTTAAAAAGTTAAAATAGAGCACATGTAGCATTTCTTCAAGTAAACCAACATTTCAGAAAACAATTCTACTGCCCGCCAGTCAAAAAAACAAAACAAAAACAAAACAAAAACAAACAAAAAAACCAAAACAAACAAACAAAAAACCCAACAAACTCACAATAAAATAAGCCCTCAATTTACCACTGACCCTTACCACAATTGTCTTGCAAGTTTTGAGAGAGGCACTTCAGAGTGCCATAGAGACATCGACACAGCCAGCAGCCCTTCATCACCCAGTCGCCATGGGCAATGCTGCCGCACTTTCTGTCAAGGACAAGGGAGATATTTACCACAAGATATAGCCAGACAGAACTGGAGCTCCCTGGTTTTGATTTAATCTTTACCTCAGTTCACAGTGTCGGCCACTAAAATGCTTTGGGCATGCACAGAAAGCCCCTAGGATGCAGGTCCCTCCATTTTGGCAGCAGTTCCTGTTCAGATTTTTACCTGCGAGACGGTATTAAGGAGTTTACAAAGCAAGACAACATTGGGTCTACCAAGCATTCAATGGGCTGTGAACTTCCCTTTTTCCTCACTTGTTCTCTCCAGTTGCAAAACATACATAGTTCTATTGTCTTTAGAGACAATAAAATTAGCTGCTTGTTAAGAGTGTTTGCATAGTTAGGCCGAGTTTGTTTTGTTAGGGATTAGAAGCAAACTACCAGGGATTACGGCATGGTCAAGAAGAAAGGTCTGGCATGTCCCACAGACGCAGCACGTACCCAAGTGAATTATTTCACTTTGACTGAGGCATGTCTCAGTCACACGGAGAAAGAGAGCAATTACAGGGAAATGCTGCTGATTTTCGAAGAAAGGACGCATTGTTAGGGAGAAGTGCCGCTTAGTCATGAGTCTGAAAGGGAACGTTCCCGCAGGCATTTCTGTGATGCCTGATAGAGCTTTTCTGCTCAATTTCTTTTGTTTTCGTGAAATACTTTTTGGTCACGATTGATTTTACAAAATAGAGAAGACTTTACAAAATTTTATGAACTCCTTTCCAAGTCCAAGAGTCCAAATATTATTTCCCAACATTCTATTTTATCAGTGTGAAACATTTTGCAGATGAGAGATTTTTACTGCTACTTTTACCTTAAATTCTTAGCAACATTTCGTAACATGCCATGGGAAAATTTAAAAACTACCATAGAAAACCAACAGGTTGGAAGATTTCCACCAACTCAGGGCCCAGGAGAACAATCAAAGGATTATTATGGTATTGTATTAAAAACAAACAAACCCTCAGAAACAAAAAACCGAACGATTTTCTGACATGGTTTAAGCGAATGAAGTTACCTACTCTCTGTAATCCCAGTGAAAGGTACAAATTCCCTGGAACCTTGTTGCTTTCTGCTTTGGTAACTCTGATTCATGTCACTGAAAGCATCCATAATTGTCAATGAATTCTTAGGCTGTTGCTTTTGTGCTGTGGTGCTGAGATTTTTCACATTTTGTTCATGTTCTTCTTTTTCACGGCCTTGAAATGGAGTGCAAAAATGAAAGGATAGCTTGTAATGAAGCAATATACACTATAAATCTATAAAAGAAACAAGGAGCAGTGGGAAAACAAAGTTTTCCTTACCTTTTCCTAAATGAATGGCCTGCCAGATCAGAGTCACAATGAAAAGAATTCTACGAAAGTCAAATAAGTGAATTAGATTTTGTTAATATGACACAGGGAACAAAAAAAGATGTTTGGAGTTCGAGGGAGGGAAGGAACGTTTTCAAAGACTTATCTAGCACTGAAATTATAAATATTTGATAACGGCAGTAATTATCACACCAACAGTCTTAAGATTATGAATTTTTAAAAAAGTGAAAAAAACAGAAGAGAAACAGAAGGGAGAGAAAGAGGAAACAAGGACGTGTATGAATCATAGAATCACAAAGTTGGAAAGGATGTTCAAGATCATCTGTCTAACCGTCCTCCCACTGCCTATGTAATGATGCCTATGTAATTATGCCTTCTTCCAGAAAGATACAGATATCATACACTTTCTGGTGACAACCAATTAAACGTTCTCTTTCAGTACATTTCTTTATCACTGTGGAGTTACTACCATCTAGTTACAGAAGCAGCAAAAGCAAGAGGGGAACATTTGCCTTCACCTTCGGTTCCAGGCACGTTAGTTCCTTTCATTATCCTGTCCCGATTCACAGTCAAAAGAAGTACTATTAAAAGACAAACCATCCTTAATCTAGAGGGGGTATTCGGCAGTGCAGGCAGCCTTACCTAATATGTTTTCGCCAGTACATTTTCCCGCAGCCTGAAATACTGTATATTCCTCCAGGAAAGCTTGAGCAGAGGTCCAAAGTCCCTCACTGAAGGCTGCTACATGCAGTTGTTCTTGCACCATATACAGTATCAAGACAAGCTGAAAAGTTGACAAAGGAAAGTTTTCTCTTTTTGTCCAGCTCACAGCAACGTAGAAAAGACATAGTTACCAGACGTAACTCTTGCTGAGCCCCCACAGAGCTCCAGGAAGGGAGTGGGTTCTCGGATTGGGACTCCCTATCCTGTCCTTGATTAACATGTGCCGCTAAAGGGTGGAGCAAAGTGGATTTAGATACAGCTGGGTAGAGATTTAAGGAACCGTGACCACTGAAAAGTGTAACCCAGTAAGTTCTCAACTCCAGTTTACTTGTTATTAGAGGGGGTAAAAAAAAAAAAAAAAAGTGTATATACACTGACATCACATACTGCTTAGGAAAGAAAAAAATTCTGCAGAACTGTTGTAAGTGTATGGTGAACTGTAGAATCTTGCCTCTGCCATGGGTCCCTACAGGGGGCTCTAGTTTTACAAAATTTTGCCTTTTTGAGAGAGGTCTTTTGAGAGGGAGAGCCTGCACAAGATTGCTGTCAGCAGAATACTGCACAAAATTCTTGATAGATGTCTGTTATTTCACAACAGCCATTCATAAATTCTGAAGACAGTCTTTGAAACTTCTTGCAATGACAAATCCATTAGAGAGCATTCCTAGTCCATGCAAAATGATCTGACATTTTATTTATCAATGTACACTAAAGGGGTCTAGGAATGCTCACAACTTTACAATGCCTCAGCAACATTGACAAGAACACCTGCAGCTTTGACAGTGGTTAAATGGCTTTTGGCCATATTTTCTCCAAAATATCCTGCAGTGCATATTGTTCTTACCTAAGCTCTAAGAGGAAACTGCAGCAATGCAGGCAGGTTTTGTTTTTGAGGACATGTAGAAGAGGGCTACTTTCATTAAACAACACAAATCAAGATAACAGAGACAGTAGCATGGCTTACCCACATCAGATATATGAGCCAGACCCTCATGAAGAACTGACTGTACTGGCTAAAAATATTGCCGAACTCTTGCAGTCTGCAAGACATCATGCCTGAAGGTTGGCAGCTTTGTCCTCATTAGGCAAGTGGTTTGGAAGCAGCAAACACTCCCTGTCCAATGAGGTAAAAAGGCCAGTTTAATTTGTGAGGGAATATTTCTAATTTATTCAGCTTGCTTATCACTGAAGTGAACTCAGAGTGCTCTGAGGGCATGTTATCTTGTGTCCCCTGTGGGGATGCTGATATCCAAAGAGAGAATATATCTGTATGTCTGGAGACATGAAATGGCTCTTTCCATAGAGAGTGCTTGCCATTTGCAGGAAAGAGTGCTCTGTTCTGGGAACAGCATTCACAGCACCAGTAACACTGTTGACTCCAATTGATCTAACCTCAACTGTTCTCTTGCAGATGTAAGTTAACTCCTCAGTATTCGCATGGAAGCCATCACATTTACTGCTGTGAGTGCAGATGCTGTTCTTAATTAGGATGTTTCACAGTAAGTGGAAGATACATAATTTCTGTGCATATTCATAATATATATATATGTCTGGAGTTTATCAGCACATGAAAATGTTTCCTGAAGTAAAATATTTCCAATTCAAACAACTTATATTTTAGTTTGAGTTCAAGCCTTTTCTTCAGCTGTGTGCATTAGAGTTTCGAGTTAAAATAGAACACCTGTACTTACATTACATTTGTTTACTGTTTTTTAAAATTATTATTATTATTTTAATTATTATTAAATTAGGAACAAATACTCATTTTTTACTTTCTCTAACTGGTAGTACCTTTTTAAGTTACAGTATCAGCTGCTGAAGTGCTGTCACCTAGGATCTAGTTTGCTGGTTTTCCCCTCCCCATAGATTGAAGGAGGGGAAAAATAAATATAGATAAGAAAACACAAGAATATCATACTCCTTGGTTTTTGTTTATTTGCTTTTAGTAAACGCAGTATCAGCATAGTTATTTTCCAGGGTGTCAGATTTCCAACACCACACTGGAGATAACTTTCAAAATGGAGATGGTTGTAAAAAAATATTGATCATTTTTAACACCTTGTACCATTTGTTTGGGATCAGAAGTCAACTCTGTAAGTGCAAGAGCTAACAACCCGGGGAACTATAAAGCAGTTGGTAAACATTTATCTCTGTGATATCTTGTTTCCTTCTTCCTCCTCCCTGAAATCTCAGTGAAAAGGTACACATGAAACAACAAACAAGGACAATATAAATTGCTCAGATGCTGCTGTTGCCTTGCTATATTATGGAGATGATGTTGGTGTGTCAGTGTAGAAAAGCACTGCTGTTTGTTAACAGAATCTGTGAGAAAGAAATTGCTTCTGTCCTTGCTCGAGAGAATTGCTTGAGAGAATCTGTAGTAAGAACTACACATCCACTTTATGAACCACAATGAAGATAAGAGTGGAGCAAATCAAAGAGCTGGTCGCAGCATTTTGGTTGAGCTTTATGTACATAACAGGTGGTTAAGTATTAGGTGTATTGTTAGTACACATACTGTACAGTACTGTTAAATCTTACAGGAGGTCAAGGGGTCTATATGGTTAAGGGCAGAAGAAAAACTTGGAATCATAGAATTGTTTGAGTTGGAAGGGATCCTTAAAGGTCATCTAGTCCAACTTCCCAAAATGAACAGAGACATCTAAAGCTAGATCAGGTTGCTCAGAACCTGATCCAAGGTTGACCTTGAATGTCTCCAAGAACAGGGCTTCCACCACATCTCTGGGCAACCTGTGCCAGTGCCTCACCACTCTGACTGTAAAAAACTTCCTCATTATATCCAATCTAAACCTCCTGCTTTTTAGCTGAAACCATTTTCCCTTGTCCTATCACAACAGACTCACTAAAGTGTCTGTCCCCTACCTTCTGATAGTCCTTTTTTAGATACTGAAAAGCAACTATCAGATATCCATGGAGCCTTCTCTTCTCTGGTCTGAACATCTGCAGCTGTCTCAACCTATCTTCACAGGGGAGGTATTTCATTCCTTGTGTCATTTTTGTGGCACTCCTCTGGATGATCTCTAGCACGTGCCACTCAGTTATTCTGCTGTTAACATGTGTCTAACAACTAGGATAGAAGAACTCCTTAAGTCTTGATCACAATTGTTCTTTCACAATTATGAAGGTTATGAGTAGTTTAACAACCTTGCATGTCCAGTGCCTCCCAGAGTATGATGAAAATCAGCTTACCTCTGGCAATACATCTGTAAGAAGCTGCACTGTAAAGAAATTCACAGTATGAAGTATGTACCAACAAACAGGACGTGAGCAAATCAGATGTTTTCTTTGTTCAGATTTTTATCGCTATCTTCTTTTAAAACATGGTGTTACTTTGTTAGTACATACAATCTCTTGTGCTGATCTGGGAAATTGTAGGTCTGCAGTCTACTCTGGCTTCAGTTCCTAATGTGTAAACGGAAGAGTATTCTGAAAGATGAAGTGTGGAGAATCAATGCTGTTTTTTGCTGTGTTAGTACCTAGTTCCAAGTGTATGATACTCAATATCTCTGAGAGCTTCAGGATCAATAAATTCCTGAAGACTAGGGGTAGTATAGTATTTTAAAAAAGAAAAAGAAAAAAAAATAGTAGCAGCAAAAATGAGAAAAACTTTGGTTTCCCTTGCTTCCTGGGAGATGTACTGCAAAGAACTGAATCATAAAAATAGCTTTTCCATATTGTGAGAACAACCTTTTGCATGACTTGAATGGATACAAGCTGAAGGACAGAAGGCTTGTGTAAATGTAAGCTCAAGAATGGAATTCAGAGGCAGTGAAACTTGTCAAGTGAAGATAAGAAAGTGAAATAGATGACCTGTTGAAGATAAGATGGCAAAACAGATGCCTTAGCTCAATGTAACATCAGTGGGAACTGGTTTGGATTATCCTCCCCCCCTAAAAGTTTGGAAATTTAGAATGAGTATGACTTCATCCTTCATCCCATGACCACAAGAGATGTTAAGTATTTTTGGAATTTCTGCCCATGTCCTTGGAATATAATGAATATGTATATGTTATGCCTTTAAATATGTAGTCGCTGCTTCTCTTAGTGTGCACGTAGCTGGAGTGATCCCCATTAACTGTAATAAAAGTAATATCTGCTTGACATAGCTCACTGGCATGGCAAGTTACTCTGTTGGTTTTTTTGGCTTCAAACTATATGCAGAATTCAGTGAAGGCTAGTGCAGCCAAAGCATCTGTTGATCAGAAACCTTTGATTTGCAAAACTCCAGTTTAGGGCTAGGACCAGATCTCTGACAAGATTGAGCACTTTTAAGTCGGTTGCATAGAGTATTATGGAAAGCAGTGGAAAGCAGTTGTCTCCCCAGGCATTTACTGAAGTCTTGGGATTAGAGACATCTGTGAAGTAAAGCTGGCTGCTTGATTGGGTGACTCATAATTCCCTGAAGAAGTGAAAAGTCGAGGCAGTCTAGCTTGGGAATGCTCAGAGTGCACTTAAATAATTACATGGTGAGGATGCTGGCTGGAAAGATGTAATAGGAGCCAGCTGGAGGCTTATATTTTTACTTGTTCAGTTTTTTTTTTTTTTTGTTGGTCCTCTGATAGCTACCTAGGAGCTGTTGATTTTTAAAGCTATGTAAAACTTAACATAGTTCAAGTGAATAATTTGTGTGCACTCTGAAAACTTCTTCAACATGAGCTGGTCAAACCAGCTCTTATCACCATAAGGGATATTTTGTGGGATTGTGTATGGTTTGGTATATTTGCCTCATTGTAAAATGGAGACCTGGGCATAAGATCTTCCACTGGTTTCAGTAGGCAGCATAAATGCCCCGAGAAGCATTATTTTTAACACATATCAAGAATGGCTGCTCGAGTTTGAATATGTCACTAATTGATCTGAGGATATAAGAAGGAGGAAAGTGAAGTAATCTGCATAGTGATCTGCACTAGTTTAATTAAAGCCACCGGACCATGATCAACTTAAGAAGGATAACTAGCTACCGATGCTAAAAAAATGAGTTCCCCGCTGTTATACAGCATGGGCTATTCATTCATATTGACTTGCTCACACCACCATTACTGTTTGTGGATCTATAAGTGAGTTATAATAGGGAGTTACTCTGACTGAAAACTGAGCTGCCAAAAATGGTTAATTTCATCTGGATCAGTTCCCTGTTATGGTTTGCCGCATGATAATTACCAGTGACTGAAGCAGGAGACAGGAATAAAGAGCTATGTCCAGATGAATGGTAGCTCTTTTCTGAAGCACAGATGATTTGTACCAGATTA